AAAAGAATACATGGGGGCAGATAAATTAATATTTGAATAACACAAGGATGACCTTTATACAGTCCACAAAACATTATGCTTATAACAGTAGACACTGAAAAATGTAATAGAACTGAAGAAAAAAGCAAGGACTTCAAAATAGCAACATTTTCAAGGCCTTAAAGAGGACATGAATAAATCCCTTAGTGAAGTTTATGGATACCAGGATGAAATAATGATGTTCAAGGTATGAAAGTAAAAACAGAATCACGAAAGAAAATCCAAACTGAAATAAACCTGGAAACGAAAAATTAGGAAGCCAAATGAAAACCTCAGGGGTAAGTCTTACCAACAGAGCACACAAGACATGGAAGACAGAATCTCAGGCACTGAAGACAAAGTATGACAAATGGACATCTCAGTCAAAGAAATGCTTAATCTAAAAGAGACCAGATAATTCCAGCACTTGGGAGGCAGAGGCAGGTGAATCTCTGAGTTCAAGGCCAGCCTGGTCTACAAAGTGAGTTCGAGGACAGCCAGAGCTACACAGAGAAACCCTGTCTCCAAAATACAAACAAATAAACAAACAAAAAAAGAGACCAGGAACAAAGCATCCAGGAAATATGGGACACCATAAAAAGACAAATAGAAGAACAATAGAAATAGAAGACGGAGAAGGTACCCATGTCAAAGGTACAGAAAATAAAATCATAGAAGAAAATTACTCCAAGCTGAAGAAGGAGATGCTTATCATTGTACAAGAAGTGTACAGAATACCAAATAGATTGGACCAGAAAAGAAATTTCATAGAACACATAATAATAAAAATACTGAATATTCAGAACAATAAAAAAATATTAAAAACATCAAGGGGAAAAGACTAGACAACTTTGAAGGCAGATCCATTAGAATTAGGGAATAGTGGTTTCTCAATGGAGACTCTAAAAGACAGAAAAACCTGGATAGATGTTCTACAATGGACCATGGATGCCAGTCCAGATAACTATATAGCAAAATTATCTATTACAATAGACAAAGAAAAAACATTTCATAATAAAACCAAATTTAAGCAGTATCTACCCACAAATCTACCTCTACAGAAGGCTCTAGAAGGACAACTTCAATCAGAAGAAGTCAACCACATCTCTCCCCCCTCCAAAAAAAAACCCACAAGAAATAAATAATCCAAGACTAGTAAATCAAATGACAAAAGTCGGGAGGAACCTACCAACAAAACAACAGGAGTCAACAAACACTGCTCATTGATAACTCTCAAAATCAATGGTCCAAACTCCCAATTATAAAGATACAGACTAACTGATTGGATTAGAAAACAGGATCCAGCTTTCTAATGTTTCCAAGAAACACACTTCACCATCAAAGATAGATATCACCTCTGGATAAAAATTAAACGAAGGTAATCCAAGTAAATGAACCCTGGAAGCCAACAGATGTAGCCATTTTAGTAACTGACAAAGTAGACTTTGAACTGAAAGTAACCAGAAGAGATAGGGAAGTACACCACATACTCATCAAAGGAAGAATCTACCAGGGGGATATTGCAATCCTAAACATGTATGCAACAAACACAAGGATACCAAAGTCATAAATAAAACACTACAACAGCTAAGATCAAATTCTGACCCTCACACACTGATGGTGGGTAACTTTAATACTCTACTAATAGTCAGGTCATTCAGACAAAAATCAAACAGAGAAATGCTAGAGTTAAATGATGTCATAAATCAAATGGATCCAGTAGATGTTTAGAGAACATTATACCCAAACACAAAAGAATATACCTTCTTCTCAGCAGCTCATAGAACTTTCTCTAAAACTGACCACATACTTGGACACAAAGCAAGTCCCAACAGATTAAAGAAAAGAAGAAGAAACTGAAGTCAGTGCTGCATTCTAAATGACAACCATGGATTAAAGCTGAGTATCAGCAACAACACAAACAACAGAGCAAACAGCAAACTCATGGAAACTGAACAACTCACTACTGAGTAAAAAATGGGTCAAGAGAGAAATTAGGGAGAAAATTTTAAAACTTTTTAGAATTGAGTGAAAATGAAGACGCAATATAACCAAACTTACGGTCCAAAATGAAGGTGGTTTGAAAGGGTCTGTCCATTAGCACAAAGCACCTACATAAAAACATTGGAGAAATTTCATATCAATAACTTAAGGGCACACCAGAATGCTGTAGGATAATAATGAAAAATAACACAGAGAAGCAAAGATTTGGCTCTTTGAAAAAAATCAATGAGATTGATAAACCTTAGGAAAATTAACTAAAAGGTGGAGAGAGAAGATCCAAATTAGATAAGAAAAGGCAACATCACAACAGATGCTGAGGAAAACCAGGAAATTATAAAGACATACTCTGAAAAGCTTATTCCACCAAACTGGAAAGCAAAACAAAACCAAAATAAGATAAATTTTGCTCATATATAAGGACCACCAAAGTTAAATCAATATCAAACAAGAAATTTCCTCCCTGGAGACTAGCTTTTATAGCCTCAGAAGGTGGTGTTCAAGCTGCCAAGGAAGTCATTCCCAGACTTAAGTCCATGAAACACAGCAAAGAGCAGCATGACGAGACATCTCTAAAGACACAGCACTGTCACTCACACCTTGGTGTTAACCAGCAGCTCACTAATGGCACATAAGGTCAGTTCAACAAGAGGGAACCCAGGCCTGATATGGGAAACTAGCAAACTAGCCAGGGCTACTGAGGTCATGGAGCTCAGACAACCTACACTGACCACTGTAGAGCAGCACAATCCCTGACTGCATTCTAAATACTTATCCTTACACTCACAGATAAGTGTAGCTCCCAACCCTCATTAAAAAAGTTTCTTTTGCAACAGACAGGTATCATTTCAGGGAACCACTAGAGGTCAAAGTGCAAAAGCCAACTGATCATGGGGTGATTAACTCAGTGGACAACCTATAATACAACTCCTGCACCTTAGGCTCAGGAAGTGTCATGGAAGAGGAGACAGAAAGAATGTATGAGCCAGAAGACACAGGAATGTTTGGACTGTGTCCTAGGAATGACAGAGATGCTTCATCAATGATACAGCAACAAAACGGCTACCAAAACAAGTTCTGAACAAGTACAGCATCAATAGACATCTGATTATTGAGAACTCTGATGGAGCCCCACATTTAGATAAGGAACTAAGAGATGTTGAAAATGGAAGAACTACTCTTCCCTCCCCTTAGAATAACTGCTAAGTGGTTATTCAATACAAGCAGTAGCTCTGATATCATTTACTTGATAAAAGTACTTAATGGACTGAGGGTAGTAGTGTTCATATATGTGAGAACATGTGCACGCGCACGTGTGTGTGTGTGTGTGTGTGTGTGTGTGTAAAACAATAATGAAGAAGAGGTCAAGGAACTGAGAATGAGTCAGGTAGGGGTGACATGGGAGAAGTTGGAGGAAGGAAAAGGATGGAGGGAAATGATATAATTATGTTGTAATAATAAACCAAAATATTTTGAACTAAATAAAAATGATTACTGTTTTAACCCTTTATTTTTTTAACAGCACTTTTCAGTGTCGTGTCAAACTCTTGGGAGCAATATCCAGTAAAATAAGGTCTAGCGGACTAGAGTCACCTCAAAGAGCACCTCCCTTCCTCTTCTGGAGGGAGAAGCCTGTCCTCCAGGACTTTTACAACAGTGGGGCACAGCAGGAGTGAAGTGTTGGTGAAGGCAGAATGGGAGGAATTTGGGTTCAGAAATGTGATTCTGGTGTTCTGACAAGCCTCCAGCTGATTATAGCAAGGACAAAGAGGAGTCAAACTAACATTTCTGTAATTACAAGGCCTATGGGTTAGAAAAAAAAAAAGGCCCACAAAGGTAGCTGCATCCAGTGTGTGGCGATGGGCTGAGTAGCTTTCCTACCTTTATTCACAGTTTGGGAAACTTGAAAAGGCTCTCCTGAGAAAATAACATTAAAGTTTGAAGTCTGAGTGGAAATTAGGCAGGGTCTCAGAGGCAACAGTTCGTCCAAAGAGTCTATTTGTGAATGAGATCATAGGAAGAAGTTGTGTCCAACGGACTGAAAGCATGTGAGGCTGAGAGTAGGGTCCCAGCCGATGCTTCAAGGCAAGCCACAGAGGGCCAGAATGATCCTATAGGCGCTGCAGATGATGGGTCTTTTTCTTCTCGTGAAAGGTATTTCATATAGTTGAAGCAGAAGGTTGGGGTGATGTTAAGGGTGGAGACATAGAGAAGGAACCCACTTAGGAGACAAGACAAAAAGACAGAGCAAAGCATACAAGGGGGGACTAAAAGGGAACGAGGAAGATGGTATCGGGATGGTGCGGGAGTCCGAGCTACCAGGGACAACTCCTTTCTCACGGTAAATGAAATTTTGAGCAACTGTTTTTGGCACTGCATGTTTTAAAAGTGAGAAATTGAGAATGGCCATACAAATTCACAGGCCACACCCTGTAAACTAATCTCTGTTCTCAATAACAAGAGGTTCTTTCTTTGAGAGAGTGGGAAACATGCCTGTGTGCAGGTGTCCGCCCACAGGTTTTCATGGCGCGGTAGCCCTTTGAGTGGGCACATCGCGTCACTTACACCTTTTCTTCACATTAGACTGCCACAAGGCTTTGAATCTTGCAAATTGTGGCATAGTACAATATACAGTACAAATAAAATATGCCTGTACTCTCCCAAAATCGAGTCGGGAGAGCCAGAGGAGAGATAAGGAAAGAGGAGTAGATTCCAGGGTAAGGCGAAAAAGAATCTGACATGGGACACTGTGGGGATAGGAAAGCTATCAAGAAACGTACCTATCTATTATTATTATTATTATTACTATTATTATTATTAATGTGATACTTGAGGAGATCTGGGACGAGCCAAATGTGTAAAACAGAGCACCGGCAGACAGTCCCTGCTACCTAAATTAAAACTTTTTCAATTTTTCCCCTCACATTTTTAATAACATGGGAGTTGTAACAAAAATACAACTTTGTGTCTTGCTTATGATATTGAGAAGGTTAACCGACTCAAACTCATTCTTTAGTATAATGGAAAGACAGTTGAGAAAAGTGATTTGTGTAGCAATTCTGATTAAAGCTGCACTGCAACCCTCAACTATGACGGGGGTTGGCTTTAGAAAAGAGTAATTTCCCAATCATGCCTGTGCTTCCTTCTGGGTTGGTGGGCTCTGTGCCAAAAGCCCCAGAGCCTATGTATACAGGGCGGCGAGCAGAGTAAACCACAAAAGTCAGAGCCCAGAGCTGTGCAGACCTCTGGCGCTATGCGGTACCTACCTTGCCTGTTGCTGTGGGCTTTCCCACAGGTCTGGGGACAGTCTGAAGGTGAGTGAGTAAAAGGGCTCACAGAACAGGCTAGAGAAGGAAGGGAGAGAGAGCCTGCCTAGAAGCTCTGTGCCTTAACAGGAAGATGGAGGTTGGACTAGGCTTCGCTGCATGCAGCAATTAGTGGGAGGAACATGTACTGCTCAGGCTCACAGCATAGCACAGTTCAGAACTACACTGAGCCTGCCTCTCCTTTGCAAGCACAGCTAAAACCGGGCTTTTTCCTACTGCAATCTGTCTGCAGACTGGGCACACTCCACTAGCTATGTTCTTTCGTTCTCCATTGTTCCAGTCCAGCAAAAGAATTACACCTTCCGCTGCCTGCAGATGTCTTCCTTCGCCAACAGAAGCTGGTTCCGCACAGACAGTGTGGTCTGGTTGGAGGATCTGCAGACCCACCGTTGGAGTAATAATTCAGACACCATCAGCTTCACGAAGCCCTGGTCCCAGGGCAAGCTCAGTAACCAGCAGTGGGAGAAGTTGCAGCGTCTGTTTCAAGTCTATCGAGTCAGCTTTACCAGTGACATCCAGGAACTAGTCAAAATGATGGTACCTAAAGAAAACTGTGAGTGGAGGGATGGAACTCTGAACCCAGTGGGCGAGAGTGCTCCGGAACCTCAACTGGATAACTGTGGGCATCTCTATGAGTTTCTCTTCTCTCTCTGCCCTTACGATGGTCACTTCTGTCTAGAAGTAATCCTTGTCCCTTCTGAAAATAGCCCGATCCTGCTCTAGGACACCGTGATCATTTCCCTCAACTGCCACCTAACTGTAATCTTCATGCCAGTCTCCTCTCCTTTCTTCCAAACCCCTTAATCATTAACTCTTTGGTCTCCACCCCTCCTCCTTACAGATCCCATTGAGATCCAGTTGTCTGCTGGCTGTGAAATGTACCCTGGGAATGCTTCACAGAGCTTTTTACATGTGGCATTTCAAGGAGAATATGTCGTGAGATTCCAGGGAACAACCTGGCAGAAGGTCTCAGGGGCCCCATCTTGGTTAGACTTGCCCATCAAAGTGCTCAACGGTGATCAAGAGACAAAAGAAAAGGTGCAGATGCTCCTGAATGACACCTGCCCTCAGTTTGTCCGTGGCCTCCTAGAGGCAGGGAAGGCAGATCTAGAGAAGCAAGGTCAGCCTGCTACTTTCACCCTGGCTCTCCACTTGGATCCATCTAGGTTTTTCCATCCTGTCAGCTGTAGAGGTTGGGCAAGGCCTAGGAAGAGATGATTAAGGCATTGGAAGGTTTATTCTTTTTACTGACAGCCACTCTTGGATTCTATAAACTGACTTAAATAAACACTGGGGATAAGAACTGAGCCATTTCTTATTTGAGACAGGCTGTATCAGCTGAACTCAGGTTGTTCTAGAGGACAGAGGAGGGGTACAGGAGGTTTAGATCAGGGAGTGGGGTAGAAGTGTCAGGGATTGTCTTCCTAGTCAGGGGGATACAGATGGATTAAACTAACAGGCAACTTCATCTGCAGAGGGGGGCGTGTGGGAAGCATGAACTTGATAGGAGACCTGGAGCCCCTAATATAAAAATTCCTCCTTTAAGATTTCTTTCTTATTCTCTTGGTGAGTACAGAGAAGCCAGTGGCCTGGTTGTCCAGTGGCTCCAACCCTGCACAAGGCCATCTGAAGCTGGTGTGTCATGTCTCTGGTTTCTACCCAAAGCCTGTGTGGGTTATGTGGATGCGGGGTGACCAGGAGCAACAGGGGACTCACAGAGGTGACATTCTGCCGAATGCTGATGAGACATGGTATCTTCAAGCAACCCTGGATGTGGAGGCTGGAGAGGTAGCTGGCCTGGCCTGCAGGGTGAAGCACAGCAGTCTAGGAGGGCAGGATATCATCCTCTACTGGGGTAAGAAAGAGCTGTAGCCTGGGTTGCCAGTGAGTAGAGGGGGCCTTCAAACATGGAGTGAGAGTTGAAGGAGCCTAGTTTCAGAGATGAAGCCCCTATGATAGAAGAGACAGGACAGAATTCTAAATAAAAATGGAACCTCAAAAGGCTTGAGATAAGATGCCCTGTATATAAGAAGAAAGAAGACCCAGAAACTCAAAAGATCCAGAAGTCATTGGCAAATAAAAATGTTCAGGAAGATCCATTCCCCTGTGGAGAGGACCTAGGCCCAAGACATAGCTGTAGTAATCTGGGTGTGTCCTGGGGGAGCTCTGGCCACTTTGTTGCCTGTGCTTCATTTGAGCTTGTCACTTAGCTTTGTCGCAAGTGTTGTTGTTCTGACTTTAAGAATGAAGGTGTTGATGCTAAGGGAGGGTAACCGTCGAGATTCAGGCAAAAAGGGCTAGAGGTAGACAGTTCATACCTGTTTGCATAGCATGTAGCCAGATCCTGACAAGAAATGGTCAATCTAAACTCATGAGGAATAACAAGAATATACTTTAAATTAAAATAGGGAACTTGAAACTGGGACAGGTTCCTTGTTGAGAGATACATTGTATTCTTCCAAACCAGGTGCAGGACAAGTATCCATGGGCCTGATCTTCTTGATAGTAGCAATACTCGTTCTATTGTTGTGTGCCATAGCCTTCTATATCAGGAAAAAGAGATGGTAAGTCTTCCAAGTACATGTGTCCCTTCCCTCAACATCCCTCGGTTTATTCCTTCCTTTTCTCTCCTAAAGTCCTCTCTCTTCTTCCAGCACCTATCAAGACATCCTGTGACTCTTCCTAAGATCTGCCTCTCCTGAAATTCAGAACTTCCAGGTTCTAGGACTTCAGTCCTGGTCTGCTCAGGAACTGAGGATGAAGGAGAGGAATCTTGAAAAAGTGAAGAGCAACCAGTTCACTTTTTAAATATTAATTATAAGAAATTAGTTTTTTAATTGTTTTATACACTTGGGTAGTTCAGAACAAACACAACTTCAAATGTGCATACCTGCCAGAAACAAGCTGTGGGTAGTATTTTATGGAATTTGCACTGAACTATAAAGCACATCTCCTATCCAAACAGATGCTTTGGGGTTTTTGGCAAGTGTAAAGTCCAACACCAACATGGCTGTACTTTGTATTTTTCAAGATAACTAGAAAAAAATGGATTTTGTATGTATGTGTGAGACACACAGATTTTAAAATGTAAACTAAAATATTTGCAAATGTTTGCTATGTTGTTTACAAACCTGTTGACTAATGATAACCTTGTAGTTTGTGGCTCTTTTTAAAATGTTTGTTTTAAATATCATTATCATAAGTTTAGGGCACAGTCTCTATTGAAAATTTGCATTAATGACTGAAAAATATGTTCTCTTTAAAATAAAAGTAGGGTATAAGATGAAAAGGAATCCTAGGGTTTTACTTGGTGTAACAGTATTTTAAAATGAGTCACAGTATATATCTATTTGGTTGAAAAAAAAAAAAAGAACCCTACTCTCCTTGGGTTATTTCTCTCAAACATTGCTATAAGTTGTATCCAAAATGGATCCCAAGGTGCTGGAGAAAGAACTGAGAGTTCTACATCTTGTTCTGAAGGAAACCAGAAGATTGTCTCACAGGCAGCTAGAAGAAGGGTCTCAAAGCCACTCCCACCGTGACACACTTCCTCCAACAATGCCACACCTCCTAATAGTGCCACTCCTTTGGGCAAGTATATTCAGTCCATTACATGGACTCAGGCAAGGAAGAGCTGTTAACTTTTCTTTCAGATTATAAAATAGTATAACTAGTTACTAGTTAGCTTTAGAAATTTTTTGTTGTTGTTATTGTTGTTGCTGTTTGATCTGGTTTCAGTTAGTTTTGTTTTATTTTATTTTTTTAAGACAGGTTTGTGTGTATGTGTGTGTGTGTGTAGACCTGGCTATCTCATTCTGTGGCCTTGAACTCAGAGAAATATTGCCTCTGCCTTCTGAGTACTGGCATTAAAGGCATGTGCCAGCAACACCCAGAGTCACCTGTATTAGTCAGGATTCTCTAAAGGGATAGAACTGGTGGAATACATATTAAAGGCAGATGTATGAGAATTGTTTATAGGCTGTGGTCTTGGGTGTCTCCTGATGGAAAGGCCAAGAATCTAGTAGTGTTCAGTCCATGAGATTAGACATGTCAGGAGTTCCAATCAGTGCTAGAGTCCTAGAGGATTCCTAAAGAGCTGTTGGTTTTTAATCTGTGTTGGAATCCCAAAAAGTAGGTTCTAAAATGAGCAAAGGAGTGCCTCGGAAACTTGATGGATCAATTTGCCAGTGTGCTGGCAAAAGAGAGGCAGAGAGCAAGAGAGGGAGAGACAGAGAGAGAAAGAAAGAGGGAGAGATGGAGAGAGAGAGAAAGATGCAGAGACAGAGAGGGAGAGGCAGAGGGACAGGGAGAAGGAGAGGGAGAGGGAGGAGAGGGAGAGGGAACACGCCAGGGAAGGTAAGGCAGAAGGAGGCCTATGGCTAGCCTCAGATTGGTCATGCTGTAACTGGAAACTGAAAGTCAGGGAGGAGAACAGTGTAGCAGCAAAGAAAACCTCTGTTTTCTTGTGTTAATGAATGTGCATTTCTCTGCTTCCGTGTGCATGGGAAGCAAGAGTGTTCAGTGCAGGTGTGCTAGGGCAGGTGTGTTCAGTAAATTTTCAGAGAATGTTTCCTATGCTTGGGTTGAAGGCCTTTTTGTGCTTTTACTGATGTTAGAGGGAGGGTGCCCTTTGCCCCACTCACCCTACACACACACACGCACACGCACACACACACACACACACCTTCAAATAGAAAGTTTCTAAGTTGCTTTCCCTGTGTGTTCTTTTAATTTACAGCATATTATAAGTGAACTTATGACCTTTATCACAAACACCAATTTTCCCTTGAGGAGAAACAACTTTAGTGTGTTACCAGGACACTTCCATATTCTAACGAGTGTCAGTTAACACATAATGCAAATAGAAAAAAAGAGCAGTGGTTTGGTTATTAGAAATCTAAGAACAACTGGAAATGCTAGCTATTACATACTCACTCATCTCATTTAAAACCATTTACACACTAGTGTTATAAAAGTATAATACGTTACAAATTTCCACCAGTGGCAATTTTCTAAAAGCTTGTGAAGAAAATTTGTTTCTGTGATATTAAATCTTCCGTTCTTCAAAATGAAACTTTTTCTTATACCTTAAATTTCTTCTCATACGTTAAAAAAAGCAGAAAACAATACCAAACAAATAAACAAAACCCACTATGAAGAGAAGATATTGTTTCTGAATACTAAAATGTGTTGAAATATTAGGAATGTTAAGGCCCAGGCTGGTACTTTACTGAAAGGCCTTTGGAAGCTGCAGCACAGCCAAGGCTCTGGGCTCCTTTCAAGAGGTTATTGATGGAGCAGCCTGACTCTATCTTCAGAGTAGAAGACACCTTATTATGAGGTCAAAATAAGTTCATTTTTATTTTCTATAAAACTTGGATTTGAACAGGTCTTGGCCTATCTTCTAGAATTCGACATGTTCCATACCCTATACCCTGACATCCACTCTGATAAGATGTTCTTCCAAATAATTTTGAAATAATAAGTCAAGTTCCTTTGTAACCAAAGTTCCTCCAGAAATCCCCCAAGCCATGAAAACCCCAGAGTCTTGCAGTTTTAGGAGGCTATACAAACCTACTCTCGCCTGTGTTCAATGCTAGTTTTTCAAACCCTGCGTCAGGGAGATAGCCCTACCTAACAGAAAATAAAACTTCAATAATTTGACCAAAGAATTTGTGTAATGGTCTTTACTCTTGTTTGCCTGGATTAAGTTATTTGTGATATAAAAGGAAGTATATGATATTAATATAATAAGCAGTATACATTTTATTTTAAAATACTTTGAAATTTCTTTAAAAGTTTTATTAATCATTCCATTTGTTTATATCTCAAATGATATACCTGGCTACCCTCTCCACCAACCCCCCCCAATCCCATGATATCTTACTTCCCGGTTACCCCTCTGACACTCCCCCATCCCATATTTGCCCTCCCCTCCCTTTTGCCGTATGAGAGTGTCCCCCACCTACCCATATTCTCCCTCCCCACTGTTCCAGCATCCGCTTACTTTGGGGCAGCAAACTTCCTTGGGACCAAGAGCTTCCCCTCCCATTGCTGTCAGGTAAAGCTATTCTCTGCTAAATATGAATCTGGAGCCAAAGATCCCTCCAGGTACACTCCTTGGTTGGTGGTCTAGTCTCTGGGAGAACTGGGTAGTCAGTCCAGCCTATGTTGTTCTTCCAATGGGGTTGCAGTCCCCCTCTGCTCCTCCAGGCCTTCTGCCAGCTCCCCCACCAAGTTCCTTGAGTTCAGCCTGATGGTTGGCTCCAAGCAGCTGCCTCTACTTTGGCCAGTTGCTGTCCAGACCTCCCCAGGAACTGCCATACTTGGTTCCTGTCTGCAAGCGTCTCTTGACCAGGACAACAGTGTTGGATTTGGTGTCTGCAGATATGGTATATCCAGACATGATGGGGCCATTCTCTGGTTGGCCCTTCCTTCAGTTTCTGTTTCATTTTTTGTTCCCGTTCTTCCTTAGGACAGAAACATTTCTGGGTTAAAAAAAAACTTTGAGATGAGTGGGTAGCTCTATCCCTCTACCAGGGGCTGTTCCTACCTACTGGAGGTGGTCTCTTCAGGTTCTGTTTCCTCCGTCTCTGTGCATTACAGCTAAAGTCAATTCCATTGAGTCCTGGGAGCCTCACACTTCTCTGCCGTCTGGGACCCACAAGTGGCTATCCCCAGTTCCTCATCCTCCCTGCTATCTATTTTTATTTGATTTCCTGACCCTGTGTACCTCTCTCAAGTCTCCTCCAGATACTGATACTGCCACATTTATTTCCTCCTCCTCCTTTCTCCCTCCCTTGTCCCCCTCTCCTCCTATCTCCCACAATTGTCCTGTTCCCCCCTAAGTGCAGGACTGAAGCATCCACCCCCTGATCTTCCTTTAACTCTCCTCTCCATATGGTCTATAGGTTGTATCATATGCATTGTGAGCTTTTGGGTTAGTATCCACTTATTAATGAGTACATACCTTGTGTGTTCTTTTGTGTCTGGGTTACCTAACTCTGAATGATATTTTTTAGTTCCATCTATTTGCCTGTGAATTTCATGAAGTCATTGTTTTTAATTGCTGCATTGTACTCCATTGTGTATATGTACCACATTTTCTGTATCCATTCTTCTGTTGAGGGACATTTGGATTGTTTACAACTTCTGGCTATGATAAATAAGGCTGCTATAAACATGGTGGAGCATATGTCCTTGTTATATGTTGGAGCATCTTCTGGGTATATGCCCAGGAGTGGTATAGCTGTATCCTTAGGCAATACTACATGAATTTTCTGAGGAACCACCAGACTGATTTCCAGAGTGGTTGTACTTAACAATCCCACCAACAACGGAGGAGTGTTCCTCTTTCTCCATATCTTCACCAGCATCTGTTGTCACCTGCATTCTTTATCTTAGCCATTCTGACTGGTGTGAGGTGAAATCTCAGAGTTATTTTGATTTGCATTTCCTTGATGACTATGGATGTTGAACATTTCTTTAAATGTTTCTCAGCCATTTGAAATTCCTTGGTTGAGAATTCTCTACTTAGCTAAGTACTCTCCTTTTTAATAGGGTTATTTGGTTCTCTGGAGTCTGCCTTCTTGAGTTCTTTGTACATTTTGGGTATTAGCCCTCTATTGAATGTAGGGTTAATAAATATCTTTTTCCAATCTGTGGGTTGCTGTTTTGTTTTATTGATAGTGTCCCTTGCTTTACAGAAGCTTTTCAATTTTATGATGTCCCATTTGTCAATTGTTGCTCTTAAAACATAAGCCATTGCTGTTCTGTTCAGGAAGTTTTCCCCTGTGCCCAATTATTCCAGGCTCTTCCCAACTTTCTCTTCTATTAGTTTTACTATATCTGGTTTTATGTGAAGGTCCTTGATCCACTTGGACTTGAGCTTTGTGCAAGGAGATAGGTATGGAACAATTGGCATTCTTCTACATGCAGACCACCAGTTGAACCAGCACCATTTGTTGAAAATGCTGTCTTTTTTTTCCACTGAATGGTTTTAGCTTCTTTGTCAAAGATCAAGTGACCATAGGTGTGTAGGTTCATTTCTAGGTCTTCAATTCTATTCCATTACTCTATTCCATTGTTCTATTTGCCTGTTTCTGTACCAATACCATGCAGTTTTTTTTATCACTATTGCTCTATAGTATAGCTTGAGGTCAGGGATGGTGATTCCCCCAGAAGAATTTTTATTGTTGAGAATAGTTTTTGCTATCCTAGGTTTATTGTTATTCCAAATGAATTTGAAAATTGCTCTTTCTAAGTCTATGAAGAATTGAGTTGGAATTTTGAT